GGAGAAACTATGGTGGCCGCAACAAGCGAAAAAATGCACTCCATTCCATTCGGAGCTACTGTAGAAACATTGCCAGTTCTACATGGCTGCTGCCACAGAAGGTGACACGCTGTGTCTGTAAACGTCTCATTCTAAGATAACAAAATCACAATGCACTTATTGTTTCAGGCTGATCTATAAACAACTATATCGAAAACATTAGCTAGTGAATATTTATATTCAATCAAATTCTGACAATAGATCCTCCTAAATGTTACACCTTTAAATAAACTGTTACGGGAACATCTTAGCCTACGCTAATTTGCATTCTCAATACCATATGTCTGGTGCAGTAAATATGAAGCTAATGCTAGCAGGTGGTTAACTTAGCTTCGCACAAAGACTAGAAACAGCTAATTCATCTCTGTCCGAGGTCCGAAGGTAACAAAGTTTGCCCACCAGCACCAGTACCAGCAAGCTCACTCAGCAGCTGTATCCCCACATAAAACCATGTGTCATTTTTACTTTTAGTTTTTGTGCAGTTTCAACAATCAATTAGCTTAGGTTAGCTTAGCTTAGCACAAAGACAGGAAACGTCAGCTAAATTAAAAGACGTAATATGAAATTAAGCTACCTTATTTGAACAAAGAAAGGCTAGCTATTTACAACTGTTTCCTGTCCTTGTGCTACACTAAGCTAACCGGTAGTTTCATATTTACCGCACTCATGTCAATCTTCTCATCTAACTCTTGGAAACAAACAAGTGTTTAAGTCTGTCCCCATGTATAACATATTGTAAATATTTTACAAATATAATATCTCTATAATATTACTTGCAGACGGGTGAATATGCAACAGACGAGGAAGAGGAGATGAGTCCAGTGTTTCCAAACTCTATTGAGGTTTTTGACCTGGCTGAGAACCAGGACATGTCTCCTGTGGAGCTGGACCCAGAGAAGCTAGCCCACAAATTCAAGGAGGTGTGGTTGTGAGCATTTGGATCTGCAATTCTTTTTTGGGGGGTTGTTTTCATCTTTGCTTTTATACAGTCTGTCTGTCTCTGTCTGTAGCTCCAGATTAAACATGCAGTAACCCAGGCGGAGATCCAGCTGTTAAAGAGGAAGGTGAGGCCACTTAAGTTTAGTCTCTTCTTAACATGCATAAATGAAATCCCTGCAATATCCAGGTTACACTGCAGTGGAGAATGTACACTAGCATAACATCAGTTCCTTTGCTGAAAAATTACTTAACGCTGGCTCTACCTCCCACATACCACCTCCTCCTGCTGCACTCCCACCCCTTACCTCCAGCTGGCTCATGCGGAGCAGGATAAGTTGCGTTGGCGGATGGAGCGCGCTCAGTTGGAGCAAAACATCCGGGACAGTAAAGAGAGGATGGAGAAACTGGAGGGCTATTGGATGGAGGCACAGTCCCTGTGTAAGGTAATTTACTAGAGAATAAACGTTAAAAAGCGAGGAGGCAACCATCATGGATAAATTGGATAAAGTATATTTTCTCATCATTTAACAGCTCGTCCAAAAATTTTATTTTACTTTTATATACTGATGTGTGTGTGTGTGTGTGTGTGTGTGTTTGTGTGTGTTTTCAGGCAGTGGATGAACACCTGAAGGAAACCCAGTCTCAGTACCAAACCCTTGAGAGGAAATACAGCAAAGCCAAGAGACTGATTAAAGAGTACCAGCAGAAGTAAGGAAGAACACATTAAAGGTTTGAGAGAATGAGTAAAAGACACACAAACTTTAATAATACTTTAATACACGTGTGCCTTGTAGGGAGATTGAGTACCTGAAGAAGGAGACAGCTCAGCGTCGAGCACAAGAAGAGAGTGAGGCAACACACAAAGAGGAGGCAGACAACCTGCAGGAAAAGGTCAGCAATACAAACCTTAACCACACTGGTGCTTTCCCCACAGAAAACACAATTTTTCCCATTTTAATCTGTTTATGTTTATATAATATTTATATATTTATTTATATAAAAACACCCAATCCTCTCCTTTAAATTGATGATACAATACATCAATGCACCACTTATCCTAAAAGGTTCCCATGGGTTTTTTTAAGGGTCCATTGATCAAAATTGTGTATGTATATATGTATATATATATATATATATATATATGTGTATGTATATATGTATATATATATATATATATAATATATATATGTGTGTGTATATATAGGGAAAATTACCTGTTGTAAAAAACTTCATCAAGACTCCAGGATTTCCTGCGTCTTAATTCGGTCCTTCTTTGTTCGGCAAGCCGTTTCATTAATGCAAATGAAAACATTGGAGCGATTTAATAGATAATGGAGATTTAGGGAAAAGTAAAACTGTTGTCATTCAGCAGGAGGCTTGTGGCTTTTTTGCTCTCCTTTTTTCCCAGCCCCAGAGTCTCAGTTGGTATTGGAGCAGCTTTGCTGACAGCACAGAACAGAAGAAGTGTTCTTGTGCTGTCTGTTGAAAACTGGGACTAAATTACAATTTTGGGACTTCAACATACTTATAACATTAAACCGTCTACAGGACGTGCGTGGAGCAGTTTTTTGGCAGGAGAGCGGCCAAGAGAGCCTGTTACATAGGGCCGGGCCTCGATTATAGCTGAGATAATGGGTATACAAATCTATTACTTTTCATTTAGGATATTTAATAAGCTGAATCATTTTAATGAGCTAATTTAAATAAACGTTAGGTGGTATAAATAATCGCTTTAAACAACTTTATATATCAAAGGGCACCACAGGTTACTAATTTTTATTTTTGTCATATTACTGTAATTGTTGCGGACGTAGCTCTCCACCGTGACTGCCTGGGGGATTTGCTTGGAGATTAAAATCAGCATTAGAGTGTGTGGACTGGACGACATGTTGCATCCTCCAAAGGGTGACAAAAAGCTCCCATTATCAAGAATGTGCTTTATGAGCCTGCGCGCATGTTATGGGCTTTCGATGGCTTGTTTTGTAATTTATGCAAGTGAAAACTATGGATATTCTTTTACTGGATACAATTATTCTTATTGCTATTGATTAAAGTCGTCTATTTGTTGATACATACTGCTATTTGTTTACAGCCCAGCCATTGTCCTTTACACACGATTATAAGTTGCCGATTACATGGGTTACAAATGGAGATGTACACTTGTTGACAAGTTTGTTGACAGGGAACAGAAACGTGATGGCCGCCCCTCTTTGAAATCCTGCATCGGACCATAGATAAAGACAGATGATTAGGACAGGTGGTAAAACACCTGCCGTCTCTCTGCGCAGCTCCGCCCTCGGTGACCTCTTAACAATTCCCCAGCTTCTCCGACCCATATCAGCCTCCTGCACCCATCCCTATGATACTGATCCCAGACGTCACTGCTGACCCCCACACACACACACACCACCACACACACACACACACACACACAGTCAAAGCATGACAACACATATACCCTCATACAACGCTATATGTCAGTATTTAGCTATTATGCTGTGCTGAGAGCAGCCGTCATGGATTGTTGCTGGTTCCAATCCATTACCTCCAGCTTCTAGCTGCTCAATTAGCTAATCCCGCTATCTTAATCCCATAAGGCGAATGGAGTTGCCTAGCAGACCATGTATGTCCACTAACAGCACCCTGCCAGTTACGCATGTGTGGTAGTCTACATAAGGCTTGACCGATGGACTCAATTATTGTAAAGGGGTGTGTGTTGTGTGTGTGTGTGGTGTGTGGTGTGTTGTGTGTTGGTGTGTGTGTTTTTTTCTGTACCCTTTCTCCAGCTCCACAGGAAATAGGCAGTTTCCGACTCTTTTCTCCAGCTCGTACTCGCTGAAGCTGCCATGGGGCCACGTCATCCATTGCGCCGATCGTAGTCTTCATAGAGTAGGTGGGAAGACCTACGCACAGGGCAAAGGCAAAGTCAGAGCAGCCACCTTCCTCATTGCTGTAATTAGCCCTAATTAAGTGTTATTTATGCTTTCATAAATCCTCAGGAATGACTTCTAACAACTG